CAAGCAGAATCAGTTGTCTCAGTCAAGGAAAATTTTATTTTTCAGATTTGTAGGTAAGTGTCTGCGGCATAGAAATGCTCAGGTTTCGAATGACCCATATATACTTTGTGATGTTTGGGTGAATTTTAAATCAGTTCTTAGGGGTAGGAAATGATAAATGGCAAATGCAGTTACCTTTTGCCACACCTAGCCAAGATTAACCCATCAATGGTTTTATCTTCATCCTCACTGCCCGCATTCAATGCATGAGCTGACAGTCCATGGGAAGGGCAAATTATTGGCCTGGTGAAACTATTTTACCATCTGATCATTCACTGTGTCTCACTAACTTTAAGACTTCTCATCTGCTCTGCACTGAGCTATCCTATTTCCTTGTGACATCACTGAGTACTCACCTTTGTAGGATGTATGACCTCAAGTTTATTAACTGCCCAAGCATCACATGCATAGGATGCCTTCACCTGCTCTCTTTCCCTACCTTATCGGAGGAAGGATGGAAGCCTTTATAGCTTGGGATGAAATCATGTGTTTTAAATTTTATGCCACTTATATGTGGTGAGTGGGTATCCACACAATGCTGAGCCTTTGCATCTATGCCAAGAGGGTTATGCATGTCCATTTGCGCATTGTTGAAATACCTCATGTGGTCTGTTGCTTGCATATCAGGAAAAGTTCACTAATCCTACCAAAAAGAAATGGTACTGAGTTTACCGTAATGATGTGTACATTAGTCCACTTGATCACTGTGAGTCTCTGTCTCCATTTTGACCCACAGAAAGGTAACATAGTGATCTCACTGCACTCCTGGGACTGCAGATTGGACACTCCTGAGCAACATCTATGTAAGACTGGACTATGAATACTTCCTGGCACAGTGAGAACATGAAGCTCTTGCCAAGTCAGTAACAATCAGTATGGAAGTTATTTGTAAAATACATTCCCCTATCCATGTGCTGTTTAATTACAATGGACTGAACATCCTGATCTATTTGATGATCCCACCTGTTCGAAAATTGACAGGTCAGTTACCCAATATCTACTAATTGGAATTCTAAAATTCAATACATCTTTAATTACCATGCTTTTATCATGGTCTTAGTCAGATTGGATTGCAAAAAAGGAAGGGTGTACCCAAGTTTTATGGCTTAGATTTCATTTGATTCCTAGAAAGTCTTGTTTTCTAATGTTTGAAGGAGGATATCCAAGGAGACCTAGGTACTTAAGCTCATATTTCCACGCACCTGTATGTGAAATGATTGAGAAATCAAGACGGCATGCTCGTTCACTGAAATGCAGAAGAGAATAGATGTAAATGAGCTGTGTGCTGTTGCCGGCCAGCTGGATATACTTATATTTTGCCAAAATGTGCCTTCCTAGGCAGGAGTCATGCTCCCCTAGAGAAGGGCACATGGACTTAACAGGATTCCCCAGAAGGGAAACACTGCTGGGTGCATGAGGGCTTGTGCACTGGCCTATGGAAAGGCCTGATGGGATTAGTCCCCCATTTTTCCCCTGTCCATTTGCCTGCGTCTCAGCAGCCCCAACCTCAGCATTATATTTTTGTCATCAAATCTCTTCATGATGTTGGTTTGTCATCATAGACCGGTGTCCTCAGAAGGCATAGCTATACCTGCTAGTGGGACACTAACAGTGCTGCTTACCAGGATGACAAAGAGCATCTATCTTGAAGGTAGGTCTCGGCAAGCTTCACACAAATGGGAAGCGGGCATTAGACTCCTGTGTGTATCAAACAGAATCAGTGGACTCAGTGAAGGAAATTTTATGGTTCCAAATTTGCAATTCAGTGTCAGCACAATCGCAATGCTCAGGTTTGGAATGCCCAATATCTGCATTGTGATGATTGTGTGCATTTATTATCAGTGCGTAGTGGTACATAATGATAAATTGCAAATGCATTTACCTTTTGCCACACCTAGCCTAGATTAACACATCACTGGTTTCCTAATCATCCTCCCTGACAGCATTCAATGCATGAGCTGACAGACCATGGGAAGGGCATATTATAGAACTGGTAAAAATATTTACCATCTGATCATTCACTGTTTCTCACTAGGTTAAAGATATCTCATCTGTTCTGCACAGAGCTATCAAATTTCACACTGACAACACTGAGTACTCACCATTGTAGGATGTATAACCTCAAGTTTCTGTACTGCCAAAGCACCACATGCTTAGGATCCCTTCACCTGTTCTCTTACACTGCCTTGTCACAGAAAGGGTGGAGGCATTTATAGCTTGGGATGACATCATGTGTTTTAAATTTTATGCCACTTATGTGTGGTGAGTGGGTATCTACAATATGCTGAGCCTGTGCATCTATGCCAAGAGGGTTATGCATGTCCAGTTGCATATTGTCGAAATGCCTTATGTGGTCTGTTGCCTGCATATCAGGACAAGTTCACTAATACTAAGAAAAATAAATTGTATCTGAGTTTATCTCACTGTTGTGTACATTAGTGCACTAGAACAGTGTGTTTCTGTCTTCCTTTGACCCTCAGAAAGGTAACCTAGTGATATCCCTGCACTCTTGGGCCTGCAGACGGGACATTCCTGAGCAAAATCTATGCAAGACTGGAGCATGAATACTTCCTGGCACAGTGAGAACTTAAAGATATTGCCAAGGCAGTAAAAATAAGTGTGGAAGGTATTTGAAAAATACATTCACCTGGAAATGTGCTGTGTAATTACAATGGAATGAAAGTGCTGATCAATTTATTGTGTCCCACCTGTTCGAAAATTCATACCCCATTTACCCAGTATCTAGTAATTGAAATTCTATAAGACAAGGCATCTTTACTTACCATGCTTCTATCATGGTCTTAGTCAGATTGGATTGCAGAAAGGAAGTGTGTACCCAAGTATTATGGCTTAGATTTCATTTGATTCCTAGATAGTCTTGTTTTCTAATGTTTGAAGGAGGATATCCAAAGGAGACCTAGGTACTTAAGCTGACATTTCCACGTACCTGAAGGTGAAATGATTGAGAAACCAAGACTGCATCCTCGTTCACTGAAATACATAAGAGAATAAAAGGAAAAGATCAGTAGTCCTGATGCCGGCCAGCTGGACATACTTAGATTTAGCCAAAATGTGCCTTCCTTGGGAGGACTCATGCTCCCCTAGAGAAGGCCACATGGACTTCACAGGATTTCCTAGAAGGGAAACACTGCTGGATGAATGAAAGCCTGTGCATGGGCCAATAGGAAAGGCCAGATGGCATTATTCCCTCATTTATCCCCTGTCCTTTAACCCTGGCCTCATCAGCCGGGACCAGAGCATGATATTTATGTCATCACCTCTCATCATAGACCTGTGTTCTCAGAAGGCATAGCTATACCTGATAGTGGGACACGAACAGTGCTACTTACCAGGATGACAAATATCATCTATTCAGAAGGTAAGTCTCGGCATCTTCACACAAATGGTCAGCGGGCATTAGACTCCTGCAGTATATCAAGCAGAATCAATAGTCTCAGTCAAGGAAAATTTTATTTTTCCAAATTTGTAAGTGTTAGCCGCATTGCTATGCTCAGGTTTGAAATGCCCAATATATACATTGTGATGATTGGGTGCATTGATAATCAGTGCTTAGGGGTAGGAAATGATAAATGGCAAATGCAGTTACCATTTGCCACACCTACCCAAGATTAACCCATCACTGTTTTCATCTTCATCCTCACTGCCCGCATTCAATGCATGAGCTGACAGACCATGGGAAGGGCATATTATAGGCCTGGTGAAACTATGTTACCATCTGATCATTCACTGTTGCTCACTAACTTCAAGACTTCTCATCTGCTCTGCACAGAGCTATCCTATTTCCCTGTGACATCACTGAGTACTCACCATTGTAGGATGTATGACCACAAGTTTATTAACTGCCCAGGCACCACATGCATAGGATGCCTTCACCTGCTCTCTTTCCCTACCTTATCACAGGAATGTTGGAAGCCTTTATAGCTTGCGATGACTTTTATGTAATTTAAATTTTATGACAATTATGTGTGGTGGGTGGGTATCCACATAATACTGAGCCTGTGCATCTATGCCAAGAGGGTTATGCATGTCCACTTGCTCATTGTCTACATTCCTCCTGTGGTCTGTTGCTTGCATATCAGGACTAGTTCACTAATACTAACAAAAAGAAATGGTTTATGAGTTTAACTTACTGATGTGTACATTCGTCCTCTAGACCACTGTGAGTCTCTGTCTCCCTTATGAACCTCAGAAAGGTAACATATTGATCTCACTGCACATCTGGGCCTGCAGATTGGATACTCCTGAGCAACATTTATGCAAGACTGGAACATGAATACATCATGGCACAGTGAGAACATAAAGCTCTTGCCAAGGCAGTAACAATCAGTATGGAAGGTAGTTGAAAAATACATTCACCTATTTATGTGCTGTGTAATTACAATGGACTGAAAGTCCTGATGCATTTCTTGTGTCACTGCTGTTCGAAAATTGACAGGTCAGTTACCCAATATCTACTATTTGGAATTATACAGTCAAGGCACCTTTAATTACCAGTCTTTTATCATGGTCTTAGTCAGATTGGATTCCAAAATGGAATGGAGTACCCAAGTTTTATTGCTTAGTATTCATTGGAATCCTAGATGGTCTTTTTTTCTAATGTTTGAAGGAGGATATCCAAGGAGACCTAGGTACTTAAGCTGATATTTTCAGGTACCTGAAGGTGAAATGATTGAGAAACCAAGACTGCATCCTCGTTTACTGAAATGCATAAGAGAATAGACGGAAATGAGCAGTGTGCTCATGCTGGCCAGCTGCACATACTTAGATTTTTCCAAAAAAGAGCCTTCCTTGGCAGGACTCATGCTCCCCTAGAGAAGGGCACCTGGACTTAACGGGATTCCCCAGAAGGGAAACTGTGCTTGGTGAATGAGGGCCTGTGCACTGGCCTATGAGAAAGGCCTGATGGGACTAGTCCCCCATTTCACCCCTGTCTTTAGCCTGGGCCTCAGCAGCCCCAACCTCAGCATGATATTTATGTCATTACCTCTCTTCATGACGTTGGTTTGTCATCATAGATCCGTGTCCTCAGAAGGCATAGCTATACCTGCTAGTGGGACACAAACAGTGCTGCTTACGAGGCTGACACAGACAATCTATCTTGAAGGTAGGTCACGGCAAGCTTCACACAAATGGTCAGCAGACATTTGAATCCTGAGGGTATCAAGCAGAATCAGTTGTCTCAGCGAAGAAAATTTTTTTTATTTTCCAGTTTAAATTTAGATAAGAAACAAGGTTGCTTCCGAGATCAGAGGAGATCGGGCGCGTTCAGGATGGTATGGCCGTAGACCTGGAACTGACTTGTGAAGCAACCTTGTTTCTTATCTAAATTTAAACTGGAAATAAAATTAAAAAAAAAACAATGTTGCTTCACAAGTCTGTTCCAGGTCAATCTCCTTTTCCCTCCCCTCCTCCGGGGTCCTCCTCCCAACCCCTCCCCGTTATCCCCTCATTCCCCATGGAGGGTGAGACCCTCCATGGGTGTGTCCATCGTCGGTCATTTCATACAGGGCATGGCCGACCCTTCCTCAAGAGTTCAGGGTGAGAGTGCACCTCACATTGTTCTATGGGAGTGCAAAGTCCGCGTGTAAAATGGGATGGGTAATGATATGCTGCCCAAGCCTCAATAGATTACCTAGGCCTCCTCACTGACACCCAGATTCAGGGGGTCTTGATCAGTCCCATGCTGGATTCCCAGGCTGACGCCTGGGATTCAAGAGTTAACCTTTGTCTGGTCAGCTGTTTCTGGGGGTTAAACCAGCCCAGTCTTAATCCCTTTGATCATCAGTCCTCCCTCTCTGTTACTGGCTTTCTTTAGTTCAGCTCAGTACTTAACCAAGGGAGTCTGCGTCTTCTTTGATCAGCCACTAAATGAAGTTTCTGTTTTCTAGACACTCTGGCCATAGGATTGTAGGCTGGCACTCCCCAGATCTATGTCTAAAATCCATATATGTGAGAGTACTTGCCATGTTTCTCTTTTTGTGACTGGGTTACCTCACTCACGATGGTTTCTTCTAGTGTCATCCATTTGCCTGCGAATCTCATGATTAATTTTTTCTGCTGAATAGTACTCCATTGTGTAGATGTACCACATTTTCTCTATCCACTCTTCGGTTGAGGGACATCTAGGTTGCTTCCAAGTTCTGGCTATTACAAATAAAGCTGCTATGACCATAGTGGAACAGACATCTTTGTTTTATGAATGGGCAACATTTGTAAATATGCCTAAGAGTGGAGTTGTTGGGTCTTATGGTAAGTTTATTCCCATTTTTCTGAGGAATCTCCATACTGATTTCCAAAGTGGCTGAACCAGTTGGCACTCCCACCAGCAATGGAGGAGTGTCCCCTTTTTACCACATCCTCTCCAGCATAAATTGTCATTGGTGTTTTTGATTTTAGCCATTCTGACCGGAGTGAGATGGTACCTCAGAGTTCTTTTGATTTGCATTTCCCGGATGGCTAAGGATTTTGAGCACTTTCTCAAGTATCTCTCAGCCATTTTAGACTCCTCTATTGAAAACTCTCTATTTAGGTTTGCAGCCCACTTTTTAATTGGGTCCTTTGATGTTTTGGAGACTTGCTTCTTGAGTTCATTGTAAATTTTGGATATCAACCCTCTGTCAGATGTGGGATTAGTGAATTTTTTTTCCCATTCTGTGGGCTGCCTTTTTGTCTTGCTGACTGTGTCCTTTGCCTTACAGAAGGATGAAATGTTTTAGGGATATCTGTTAATCCCAGTTGGGTCATTACTTCTATTACACCCTTTGTTTCTTTGTTGAGTTTCTGTCTGGTATTCCTGTCTAGTGGTGAGAGTGGTGTGTTGAAATCTCCCACTACAACTGTGTGGGGCTTTAGATGAGATTTAAGTTCTAATAATGTTTCTTTAACGAATGTGGATGCCTTTGTATTTGGGGCATAGATGTTCAAGATAGACACTTCATCTTGGTGGGTTTCACCTGGGATGAGAATGTAATGACCTCCTTCATCTCTTTTGATTGCTTTTATTTTAAAGTCAAGTTTGTTAGATATTAGGATTGCTACCCATGCTTGTTTCTTGGGTCCATTTGATTGAAAATTTTTTTCCCAACCTTTAACTCTCAGGTAATGTCTGTCTTTGAGGGTGAGGTGTGTTTCTTGTATGCAGCAGAAGGAAGGGTTCTGTATTCGAATCCATTCTGCTAATCTGTTTCTTTTTATGGGTGAGATAAGGCCATTAATATTGAGGAATATTAATGACCATTGATTGCTCATCCTTCTTCGATTTGCAATGGTTGTTGTTGGTGGATTTATGTGTGGAATTACACCCCTTTGTTCTTTTGGCTGTTGGTAGAGAGGGATTCTCTAATGCCTATGTTTTTCTGGTTGTAGTTAGCTTCCTTGGGGTGGAGTTTTCCTTCCAAAATTTTTTGTAGGGCTGGGTTAGTGGACACATATTGCTTGAATCTAGTTTTGTTATGGAATATCTTGTTTTCTCTGTCTATAGTGATTGAGAGCTTTGCCGGGTATAGTAGTCTGGGATGACATCCATGGTCTCTTAGTGTAGGTAGAATATCTATCCAGGACCTTCTGGCATTCAGAGCTTCCATGGAGAATTCAGGTGTAATTCTGATAGGTCTGCCTTTATATGTTACTTGATCTTTTTCCTTAGCTGCTCTTAATATTCTTTCTTTATTCTGTATGTTTGGGGTCTTGATTATTATGTGGCGAGGGGATTTTCTTTTGTGGTCCACTCTATTTGTTGTTCTGTAGGCTTCTTGTACCTTCATTGGCATGTCTTTCTAAAGGTTGGGAAAGTTTTCTTCTATGATTTTGTTGAATATGCCTTCTGCCCCTTTGATGTGGATTTCTTCTCCTTCTTCTACACCTTTTATTCATAGGTTTGGTCTTTTCATGCTGTCCCATATTTCCTGGATGTTTTGTGTTAAGGATTTGTTGGATGTAAGGTTTCCTTTGGATGATAAATCCATTTCTCCTAGTGTATCTTCAACTCTTGAGATTCTCTCTTCCATTTCTTCTATTCTGTTGGTAATGTTTGTATCGCTAGTGCCTGACTGTATAAGCTGGGCTGGGTACCCTATGATCATTTGTTCTCTGCATTCTGAACATTTGTGGAACTCAGCAAGTAAAATTTTGATGAGTGGTGAGACCTACACATTTTTTTCTTTTTTTATCATTTTTTATTTTAATTTTAAATAGCTTGTTTTACATGTCAATCCCAGTTCTCTCTCCCTTCCCTCCTCCCGCACTCCCCTTCCCCCCTCCCTCCCACCCTATTGCCAATTCCTTCCACATAGGGGATATCTAGAGTCTGTCATTTTACACTTGGTAGGGTCAAGGCACTCCCCTAACAGTCCAGGCTGAGAGAGCATCTCTCTTTTAGCCATAGGCACATGAAGACAGTTTGCATACCAGGGATAGATACTGATCCACAGCTCAGGACCCCATAGGTTGCCCAGGCCTTCTCACTGACACTCACATTTGGGGGGGTCCAGATCAGTCCTATGCTGGCCACCCCACTGTCGGTTTGGGGTCCAAGAGCACTCCCCTGTTCAGATCAGCTGTCTCTGCTGGTTTTGCCAGCCCATTCTTTGCCAATTTGCTCATCACTCCTCTCTCTCTGTCACTGGGTTCCTTGGGTTCAGTTCAGTGCTTAATTGTGTGTTTGCCTCTGCTTACATCAGTCACAGGATGAAGGCTCCCGGATGGTTATAGACATCAAGTTCATTATCAGGAATGGACATTCGAGGTGGTCCCTCCACTATTGCTTAGCTTGCCAATTGATGTTATACCTTTAGATCACTCGAGGTCACCGTGGTGCCTGATCTGTCTTCGATCCTATGATTCCCTCTTCCCCCTATTCTACACCCACCCCCTCAACTTCCTGTTCCCCCATGACCAATTCCCTTCCTCTTTACCCCCTCTATTCTTCCCAGGTCCCACTCCCCCCCCAACCCTCGCCGTGATCCCCATCCATTCAGAGGATCTTGTCTCCATCCTCTTCTCTTGGGTACTATGCATATATGCATATCTTTTAGGTTCTTTCCTGTTTCCCAGACTCTCTATCTGTGGAAGTGCAGAGTGGCACTATCCTGATCCATATCTAAAATCCATATATGAGTGAGTACATACCATGTTTGTCTTTTTGCGACTGGGTTACCTCACTCAGGATGGTTTCTTCCAGTGCTATCCATTTCCCTGCGAATTTCAAGATTCCATTGTTTTTTTCTGCTGAGTAATACTCCATTGTGTAAATGTACCACATTTTCTCTATCCACTCTTCAGTTGAGGGGCATCTAGGTTGCTTCCAGGTTCTGGCTATTACAAACAATGCTGCTATGAACATAGTGGAGCAGATGCCCTTGTTGTATGAACCGGCCTCATTTGGATAAATGCCTAAGAGTGGAATTGCTGGGTCTAGTGGTATATTAATTCCCATTTTCCTGAGGAATCTCCATACTGATTTCCAAAGAGGCTGTATGAGTCCGCATTCCCACCAGGAGTGGAGGAGTGTTCCTCTCTCTCCACATCCTCTCCAGCATAAATTGTCTTCGGTGTTTTTGATTCTAGCCATTCTGACAGAAGTAAGATGGTATCTCAGAGTTGTTTTGATTTGCATTTCCCTGATGGCTAAGGATGTTGAGCACTTTCTTAAGTGTCTCTTGTTCATTTTAGCCTCATCTACTGAGAATTCTCTATTTAGCTCTGTACCCCACATTTCAAGTGGATCCTTTAGTGTTTTGGAGACTTGTTTCTTAAGTTCTTTGTAAATTTTGGAGATTAGCCCTCTGTCAGATGTAGGGTTAGTGAATATCTTTTCCCATTCTGTGGCCTGCCTTTTTGTCTTTTTGACTGTGTCCTTTGCCTTACAGAAGCTTTTTCGTTTCAGAAGGTCCCATTTGTTAATTGTCGATCTCAGTGCCTGTGCCACTGGTGTTATGTTTAGGAAGTGGTCTCCTGTACCAACTCGTTGAAGAGTATCTCCCACTTTCTCTTCTAAAAGTTTCAGTGTGGCTGGATGTATG